TGACAATGGGGACTCCCGCATTTATAGCCGCCATCTCTCCCAAGAGGATGTTGCATGTGTAAATCCCTCCCAGAGACAGCATTCCCCTGACTTGGTGTGCACAAGATCGTAGACAATTTTCTTATGAGTTTAACAAGTTTAATCATAAATTTATTTGATGACGAGAGTAGGTAGCATACCTAGGCTCTGCTTCTTAGTCTGACCTGCAGTAGTAGCAGTACCAGAGCCCTTTGCACTTTCTCTAATTTCTCTTTGCTGCCCACGCCAAGAGCCCTTTGTAATTTTGATTTGTTTTGAGGCCAATTTAATGATCTTTATGTTCCAAGTTGCAATTAGTCATGATATGAAATCATTTATGTGCTCGTGTTATGCAAACTGCTCTATGCTTGGTCTTAGTAATGAAATTGCGTTCAACCACAATGTGGTTTGGTTTGTTAACATTGATATTCAGATCTTCTTGTCATGTATTGTTCAATTGGATTTTGTGGGTACTAATAGAGTCTTTTCATAATATTCAAATGCCTAGGCTCAGGAAGAAAAAACCATGTGAGGTTCCGTAACCTGGGAACACGCATCCAAAATACCTACTTTTCCTTCTTTGAGTTTGAATTTGGAATTGGCCTAAAAAGAAATTTTAAGAAGTCAACAGTTACAAAAACAAGGAGGCCTCCCTTGTAGTTCTCAATTTTTATCAATGATAATCAATTTCTAAGTAGATCAATCCTATTTCATAGTTGGCTCAAGTAAGGACTGAACCTCTTTGAGAATTTCGACTTCTCATTTTAGGAGCCATGGAATGGTACCAGATCAGTTGCCGTGAGTTTCTAAAGTTTGTTTGTTTTTACGTGGATATGTGCACCCCTTTTGGTGTCACCTTTGATCGAGGGAGTGTACCCGCTATAGGTGTCTTTTCTTTTGTTGGCTGTGGTAGTTTTGGTGGATATGAAAGGCTCATAATTTTGTAAAACAGATGTCCATTGCATGTTAAATAATTAGGATGTGAAGGAGTTGATGCCTTTTCTTGGTTTGTTTATGTTGTTTTTCAAATTGGAGGAATGGATGCTTGTACTGGATATGGACCTAATCTGCTGGCTTTTAAGTGAAGCCTTTTATTTGTATAGGTTGTATTGCAAAATTCTAGCTGTTGGTAATTTGATTAGGAAGTTGCAGACTGGTGATAGCTAGTGTTGTAGGTGCAGTAATGTAGTACCTTTCTGACTCAAAATTGTGAATATATATCAAACAAGTAAGGTCTTAACCTTCTGATTGTAATGATAATTTAGACACAAGGCTTAAAATGCTTGGAATAAACGGCTATGTTCATTGACAGATTAGTTGTTTTCCCAACTGGATTTCTATCATAGCAGGTATCATAATCTATACTTTGACCTCAATAACTAATAAACTAAACATACCATTCATAATTATGTTGAAATAGCAAAGCGAAAAAGTACAGGAGCATTTGTACTTGCCTCTATGCACTCATATCCAGCTTTAAGGCACGCACTTTACAGAACATAAAATGAAGTTAAATGCAGTGGGAAATAATGATAGAAACTACTGCTACTTGCCTGAATATGGACTTCTTAAGGTACCGACTGCTACCTTCTCTGTCTTCTTCCTTGCAATTTCCTTTCTTCTTTACGTAGACATGAAGGTTATCGGTTATGATTGTTCTCTTTTCTTTTGTTCTATTAGATCATGTGGGTAATATTGTAAATTTATGTAAGTTCTCAATTATGTTTGGCTGGAATTGGTTTTTTTTTCATTCCTTGGAATATTTACGGATTTTGGTGGACTTGATGAATTAGTTTTCGACTTTATGTTAATTGTACAATTATAAATGAATATATTCAAATAAATAGATTTAAAAAATTTTAGATGTCTAATTTTTAGAAAAAATTATGTCAAAAATTTTATAAAAATAATAAATTACAAATTATGATTTTAAATAGAACTAAATTATGAACTATAATTTAATTTAGTTTAGAGTTTAATTTCAAATAGAACTAAACTTAACCATGAACACTTCTACTAATGATCATATATAAATCTAATACAAAAAATCAACGGAGCTCTGGGATGAGTGCACGCTGCATTATTCTTCTGCCACGCTACACGTACTGCATTATTCTACCACACACTGCAATTTCTGCAGCATGGGATGAGTGTTGGGTTTTTTGACAGAAAGCTTTTTGTCAGATCGGCAACAATGGGCTTTTAAAAGCCCTACCCATTTCTCTCTCCTTTCATGCTGCCTCTCTCTCTCTCTCTCTCTCTTGTTCCCTTGCCATCCGCTGTCCACCGTTGGTCTTCCCTCCACTGTTTGCCATTCGTGCATTGTGTTGGTCAGTGAGCTTTTATCTTCTACCATTACTGTTCAAGTAAGTTTTTTGAAGTTAAATTTAGTACATCCTTTGCACTATTACTTTTTATTTGCACAAATTGTTCAGCTAGTTGGTCCCTATTTTTTAGCTTTTATGTTCAAAAATCATGTAAATCTTTAGTCATGTGCTTTACATTCTAATCTTGAAGACCAGGACCTGTGTTTATTGGTTATCCATGAAACCTTATTCTCTGTCTTTTTCAGATGCATTTTGTTAAAAGGATGTATAAAACTTAAAAAAGTTTGCCGTCCTTTCTCTAGCTTGATTATTTCTATGCACCTTTCTTTCATAGCAGTTTTTTTTTTTTTTTTTTTTTTTTTTTTTTTTTTTTTTTTTTTAGAGATGTAATATAAGTTTATTTATTTATTTATTTTTATTAAACTAGTTAAGAGGAGAATGGGACGTTTGTCTTGGGCCTTTCAGTTGAACAGTAGGAGGTTGTAGTGAAAGTAGCTTAGCTATCATTTGCATTAATTTTCTTCAGATTTTCTCTTCTTTCTTCCGTAATACGCTACAGAACAGCAAAACTTCTAAGCGTGGTGTTCTTCCATTAAATAATTCACATTCTGTTCAAAACTTCGTTTGTCTTAAGGTTTCAGCCCTTTTGGCAAAACAATTATTAGATAGGCTTATATGGTTATAATTTACTTTAGCCACCAAACAACCCTTTAGGATAGGTTGTTGTCAAATCAATGTTATACATTAAAATAATTCTATGTTATACATTAAAATAATTTTATTACATTATTTTTATATTTGTTTAACAAAATTTTTTTAAAAAATCCAGATGGGATATCATTAATCCTTCCTTTCGGGACGGTATGTCTCCCATCGCCATTGTATTAAGACAAGCTGAAAGGTAATTTAGACTACTTAAGTGACAGTTCTAAATTTAATAAAATTTATTTTTTTATATTTCTTTATTAATTCCTAATTAACAAAAAAAATAATAAATTTTTGAATTATTATTGTATCAATATTTTTCGTTTTTATTTTTGTAAAGATGATAAAGCCAAAAATTGAAAATTCAACCTTTACTAAATCAATCCATATACGATGACCAAAAACCAACTTGACTAAGGCAAATTTTTCTTATTTTAAACAAAAAGTCACATGGACAAGTTTTAATTATATCATGCATGGCATCAATCTAGAAATAATATAGACATTTATAAAAGCCAGTCATAAAAAAGGAATATTTTTTCCTACACAATTTTCATTGATTTTGTATAACTAAACCCATTGCTTAATTCTTCTAAAAAGTCCTAAAAAATAAATTATATATATATATATATATATATTAGGGTGACCTTCAAAAGTGTTTTGAGTAGGATCTCTCTCTCTCTATCTTCCACCATTATTAAATGTGTAAGTTTGTAAAAATTATGTTTAGTCTATACTTTACACTTATCATTTATTTTTTGTTACTTATACATATATTTTCTTTTGTGTGAAGATATGCTCTGTTCATTTATATATATTTTTGTGGGTTGAGTATATATATTCGGTTCTAGTTTTTTAATTTATTGTTTTAAACATAAAAATTTGGAAAAAAGGAATTTATGAATTTTATTCTAGTTCTAATAATAATAATAATAATAATAATAATAATAATAATAATAATAAGCCCAGACTAATAAACAGATTGTACCAGTGTTTTAAAACTTATACTAGAGCCAGTTCGATCGGTTCAATTATACTAAATTTATTGAATGTTTAATTTATTTTTTAAATATTTCTTTATTATTAATTGGTTTCCCCGATGGTTAAACCAGTTGAAATGTAACCCGTGACCTTGCCAGTTTGATCACTGGTCCAAGTTTTAAAATATTAGATTGTACCAAACTTATTATAAATTGTGTTCAAACCTTTTAACTTGCATTCTAACTCTTAAAGAATCTATGAATTGTGTTCAAGCCTTTCAATTCTCTAGTTGCAACAGATAGTTAATAACACTACAAAAAAAGCGGCTCTTAGCCGTGGTTTCTCGACTATGGTTCCGCAACCGCGGAAAAATTAATTACAGAGATGAAATTTTGCCACGTACGAAGAGCCCGTAGCTAAGACCCGTGGCTAAGACACGCGGTAACAAAATTTATTGGGCGGTAAATATTTTATTTTGTGCGCCCTCTCCCCATCCTCGGCATTAGGTGGGTTTTAGCTTCTCTCTTCTCCCATTTATTTTCTTTTTCGTCTTCCTTTGTTAGCGTTTCTATCTCGTTAATATCCTAACTTATTGTGCTATTCCAAAATCGTTGGCCTGCCAAAGCCCCATTCTAATTCCAACTATTGAAGAACTTTCAGCCTAGTTCTGAAGCAGAGACAACGACTGCAAAGGATTTCTGTTTTTTGACGGTATGGGTCATACTGTGGGTTGGGTTAAAAGAGGGAAACTTACCTAGGAGCCCCTCTTCTCCTTCGCCTGTTCCCTGCATACACCGACTCTAGAACCTTCCACGATTCCTGTCCGACTAGTTTCCTCGAGTTGGTCAAAAATTTCTTTGATTAGAAGTAGCAGAATGGAGATTCGCTTGAGGAAAAGGAGTTGTATCAACTGCAAAGTGATTTTCCAGCCTACAATTGAACGCCACTAGAAGACTTTGAATCTCTGCTATGGATGGAGTGTCAGGCCTTTCAAGAAGAACGAGTCTCGTAACCTTCTCTAGTCGAGCTCCAGTTCACGTCGGTGCATGTTCAAATTTTCAAATTTAATTAAAATCCTTCGCTTTTTCCTGTTCTTTTTTCCTTGATCTAGATTTTGATAGTTGAAAGGTTGATGTAGCTCTGATTCCCTTGGAAAAGCTCTGTGAGCCGGAGGTGTTGGTTAAATATGGCGTCATGCTTGATCCTGAGGTTTTGGCAACACTTGACAACACATCCAGGCAAAAACAGGTGAGGGTTATGGGGAAGGTTTATTGGGGAGATGTGAGGAGTAAGCTGTGTGAGGCGGTGGGGGGACTGAAGCTGGACTGTTTGGTCATCGAAAGTAGAGGACTTGGCACAATTCAAAGGTATTTACATCTCATACTCGTAATTTTTATCAGTTTTCTATTTCCATTTGTACTTTGTTTTCTGTGCTTTTGACGATACAAGATTCCCAAAGTCTTGAAAATCAGTTTTATTTTTTGCAAAGAAATTTTTGTTTTTTTGCTTTCTGAATATTGACCTTCATGTTGTTGTGCTTCATTTGATGGACTACTGATAATTTGAAGGATTCTATGTGAGTAGCCATGTGATAGCCATGTTAGACTTGTGCTGTCACTTCGTTAATGTCTGTGCTCCACTTTGTATACACTGAACATAAAAAAATTTTATCATCACAAATTTTATAAAAACGATTCCATAATTAAACAAATCAAGTAATCTTTGAAATACAAAGGAAGCGGCATTTTTGTCTTGCTAGTATTTCTTGTGCAACCACGTGGTCTATTCAGAATAGGATATGTGGCGAAACCTTTCCTAGGGCTAGTTTAGTTTGTAGGATAAAGTTAGAGAAAGATAAGGATGAGAATTATAACATGTGAATGGACATCCCCTTCTTTATAAACAATTAATTCTAATCTTAGATATATATTATTATAAATGAGTGCATATGTGTGTATATGGGGATGTTTATTTTCCTAGTTTTGGACAAGGGTTTTTTAAAAGAAAAGTTTAATAAAATGACCTTTTGATTTTCTTTTCTTTTTCTTTTCATTTGGTAGGTGAGAATTTCTAATTTACATAATTCAGTTAATAAAAATTCAAAAATTATTTTTTTAATGAAAACACCTCACGAAGATGATCTAAATTGTGATTATACACACTTGTTTGCTTATTCAACTATTTTTCCTACTTATATTCCACTTCATTTCCCTATCTGCGACACCATTTGGAGATTGAGGTGAGTTCTCCTTAAAACTCTTTAGTTTCTCGACTCAAATTCTTTGTATTGTTGAAATTCAAGGCTCAATCTACATTCATTTCTTTTAACTTGTTTGATTTGTCACATTAACGTTTTGATTATGCATAATGTAGGAGATATGATTTTTATTTGTGCTATTACAATCTACGAATTGCCCATTATCTTCTTCAATGTTGTACCATATTTTCCTCTTTTTGGATTTCAGTACATTTGAAAGCATCTTTGAGGTGCTCATCTGAACTTAGAAAGTTTTAGATTAAAATAAACTGTCAATTGAGTCTATCTTGACAATCGTGTTCCTCAAATAAGTTGATTACCGAGAAGGTTGTCCTATCTACATGTGCTTTTCTTCCTATCTACATTCATTACTAATGTTGTGTGCAGTTTAGGAAAGCATAGTTTTGGGAACAATGTTACTTCCTGTTTTTATTTAATCATGAACACTTGAAGTCCTAGTTCCTTTGTCCTACAAATGATTTTGGACACTTAATTTGTGATTCTTTTGTGGTGTTTCTTGGATCTAAGAAGTTGTAGTTTCTTCTGCTTCCAAAGTTCTACAACCATGCTTTCCATCGCATAATCTTTAATCGTCAAACTTGTCTCATTCTTGTTACTTTGTCCCAGACTCCGTGGGATTTCTGATATTTTTGATATGATAGGACTTAAAAATCTACCATCAGCTTAAAATGTGGTCACTTTCACAAGCCGTCCAAAATTAGGTATTAGCTTAATAAGAAAATATCAGATTGGGGAAAATATTAAATGCTAGAATGATTTCTTAAGTCCATGAAACCTGAGATTGTAGAAACTAGACGCTTTTTTCCAGTGAATTGATCTTTGTTTCCCTTATGTTTTTCTCTTTATCTTGTGCATCCATGTGTCCATGCAGCCACTTACTAGTGGATGCAAAAATGTTCTACGGCTAAAAGTCATCCTTTATGCTTTAGTATATAATGCTCACTAAACTAGGAAAATGATGTCACATTGATGAGATTCCTTTGCAGTTTTAGACTAGCTACTTTTAGGTTACATGCATGGACTAGAATTTAGGTTTTGAGCTATTAATTTTAGCTTTAAGTTTCTGTTCAGAGCTCTCTTTAGGCCTTTTTGGCATTTGGGCCTGCAAATGCTGGTTCAGAATCCTGCAGGGGCCTCCTAGAAATAACATTAGAGGCCAACTCTTAGGAAGAGCTCAGGATTCATTAGAGGCAATTTTATAGATTCCCTAAGTTCTCAAATCTGATCAGACAATCCTCCAACTGTAGAGTAGCTAACATTTCCAGGCTCTTCATGAAGCATATTGTATACAACTGGATCAACCTACACACCAAGTCTGGTCTTATATCTCAACAGACCCTATAAAAAAATTTTAAACTAAAAAATGATGCATAATGTATTTGGTCTTTTCAAGAATACTAACTTCATGGGGAAGAACCCGCATAATTGTGAGAGTTGTCATGTCAAGCACCACTCTAGTGCCTACAGTAAGTTTTTCTTTGTCCACTTTATTGTAGTAGCTAACAACATATCTGGGCCCGCTACTTGCTTTAACTATCACTGAAAAATTATAATCAACTTTATATCAGTTCCACTGAAGTACAATAGTTATCTCCCAGGCCTCTCTTACACATAAGAAAGAGGAAAAAAGAGTAATTCAAATAATCTTGTTTTCATTGGTGTCTTGGATCCTAAAGACAGCCTCTAATTGGAAGAATTGATATGTTTGCAAATATATGTTGGTAAGCCCAACATCATGTTGGTACGTGTGGAGCATAGTGCTGAAGAACATTTTAGAAACTTTTCGATTCCATCACAACTGTTACATGTTTAATGCTTCATGTTTTATATTATCTACTTAATATAGGGACTTATGTTTTGATATTATAATTGCATTGGATGAATCATCTCATACCAAGATTTCAATGTAGTAACTGACAGGTTTTTGCCATTTGTCTTAACTTGTCATTGGGCTTTGATTCCTTTATTGAACCTATAAGTTCCTTGTAGTTTGATGCTTGGCTGTTGCGTGGGTGTTGGTGTGAAAAAGAAGTAAAAATATATCCTATGAATTGGTGAAGTACATTGTTTGAATTAAAATGAAAATCATATAATCTCTGGCAAAAGTTTGATTGCTTTTGGTTTTCCAAACGTTATTGCTAGAAGTAAGACAGAACTTTTAATGAGGCATTCTACTATTCTAGCAATTACCATTTCTTCACCATTTCTTCCTTAATTCTTCTATTCCACCTTCCTTAATTGCAATAAAATCATGAAACAAACACAAAAATTCTTTACCATTAAACTAACAAATATATTAAATCTTTGTCTTATTTCCCTTTCCTGAAGCAGTGTTTACAATCAAAGAAGAAATGTCACTTGAACAGCTATTTTGTGCTGCATTCTCACGGGAAGTGCTACATTCCCCTTTTTCTTCTCTCTTTTGTTTTATTGATGGCAAATCTGCTAGAAATCCTTCAATATTACAAAGTTGGTAAAAAGAAAAACAAATTGTAAGACAGATTATTTATTGACCATTTTAACTTTTCTGGTTTAGGATATTCACCCTATTTTTGGCTTGATTCATGAGAAATGAGAATGTCATCTAGTTAGGGGTTTAGAAAACTTATGAATATTACATGTTTAAGTCTTTTTGTTTTGCTAGTGATAGATATGAGATTTCTCAATTTTTTGGCATGTAAATACATTGACTATATATATGTAAATATTTAACATTTTGTTTTATTGGGATCTTTTGTAATATTATTGCTATTATAATTTTTATAGCAAGTAATTTTTAATTTGCAATGATAAAATTAACAAAATTTAGACCTTTTTTTTTTAAATAATACATATTAGCCACGGTTATAACCGTGGCTAACTAATATATTTTTAATATTTTATTTTATTTTTTATTATTAGACACAATTTAGACACGATTATAACTGTGGTTAACTAAAAATATTTTTAATATTTTATTTTTTTATTATTACCCCAATTTTAGCCATGGTTATAACCGTGGCTAACTAAAAATATTTTTAATATTTTATTTTTTTATTATTACCCCAATTTTAGTCACGGTTGTAACCGTGGCTAAGTAACATATTTTATTTTTCTTTTTTATTATTACCCAAACTTTAGCCACGGTTATGACCGTGGCTAACTAACACATTTTATTTTTTCATATATTTTTTTTTTATTATTAGCCACGGTGACAACTATGGTTAAATTAATGGTTAACCGTGGCAGAAAAAAGGTTACCACGGTTCCTTAAACCGTGGCAAATGAATTATAAACTGTGGCAAATTTTGTAGCGATGCCTTGTTTAGCCACGGTTTTGTTTAGTGTGGCTACTTTTGTTCGCCATGGTTTTTCCACCTTTTAGCCACGGTTTTGACCATGGCTAACAAGCGTTTTTTTTTTTTTTGTAGTGTAATGATGAGATTTTGGCTATAATATTTTATTTACGATATCGGGTTCTATACATTTCGTACACTTGCAAATACAGTAAGGTCATTTAATCAACCCATTAGTGAAATAACTTATTTGTGTTTAGGTATTTTCGTCTTTAGATGAATAAATAATTAACATGAAGGGCTTGAACGTAAATTAACAGCTTAAAGTATTATAATTAGCCAAAATAATACTTAAAGTTGTTATTTGCAAACTAAAAAATGGTGTGTAGTGTAATTTGCACATTAGCCCCTTAAACTTAGACGAAATTACATTTATCTAACTTTATTATTTATTTGTAGATGGATATTCTTCAACACCATCAGTGGATGTATAATAGGGTTTATCCTGGAAGAAGTGGATTGAAACAAGAATTTATGGATGGTCTTGAACTGTTTATTAATCATGCATGCCAACAAGCATGTTATTTAAATGATGAGTTGATTAGATGTCTTTGTTGTATTTGCAAGTGTGTGAAATGGTTAGAGCTCGGTATAATGAAGGTACATCTTTGTACAAAGTGTTTTATGGCAAGATATTGGTATTGGACTCATCATGGAGAAGAGGAGCCTCATGTGGGTGTAAGTAGAGTTCATGGCGGTGCCGGTTCTTCAAGTAATGTGGCTACTTTTAATGATCACTTGTAAAATTTAAGTAGGTTTCATGAGATGGTGTATGATGCTGCAGGGCCTAAGTATCATGCTCACTTTTAACACATAATGAAAAAGGCTCCTAATGTTGAGGTTTAGAAGTTTTATAACTTGTTATAAGCAGCAAACCAATCATTATGGCCATGATCTCATCATTTTGAATTATCTGTTGTGACTAGAGTAATAAGTTTCAAGTTTGATTGGAACGTTGCTCAACAATGCATTGATTCAATGGTGGAACTCATGTGTGAGACAATGTGAGAATATAAGGATACTTGGTAGTTATTATGAATCCAAGAAATTAGTATCAAAGTTGGGACTTCAAGTTATGAAAATTGATTATTGTGATAATGGGTGCATGTTATATTACAATAATGATGCAAATGAGCAGTTTTGTAAATTTTGTGGTTTTTCAAGGTATTGGTCACGTAGGGTGGGAAAAGAGAAATTATAAAAATATAGTTGTTAAAGCAATGCATTATTTACTACTTATTCCTAGATTGCAAAGACTTTATGCATCCATGAGTTTTGCACCACATATGAGATGGCATTATGAGAATAGGCATCCATCAGACATTTTAAGTCACCCATCAAATAGGAAAGCATGGAAACTCTTTGATAGATTATATCCTGATTTTGCAAATGAGCCTTGAAACGTAAGACTTGGTTTATATTCTAATGGATTCACACCTTTAGTTAGTCAACCACACCATATTCTTGTTAGCTGATAATTGTCACACCTTATAATCTTTCACCTGAAATTTGTATGATTAAACCGTACTTGTTCTTAACATGAATTATCCTTGGTCCAAAAAATCTTAAGAGTGGAATTGATGTTTATTTACAACATTTAATTGACAGGTTGAAGGTGTTGTGGGATGTTGGTGTGTTGACTTATGGTATATCGACCAAACAAAATTTTATATTACATGCAGTTGTCATGTGGACAATTAATGGTTTCTCAACATATAGAATGTTGTTTGGCTGGATAACTTAAGGTAAGTTAGCATGCCCTTACTATATGGAGAGAACTAAATTTTTTACTTTAAAATATCGCGATAAAAATTTATGGTTCGATTGTCATTGTCAGTTTCTACCATATAATCATTCGTTTAGAAGAAATGAGAAAGATTTCAAAAAAGCCCAAGTTGAGATTGATGAGTTGCTTGCAAGTTGTTTGGTGCATGGATGTGGGAAAAGGTTAGTTCTCTTCCAAAAGTCATTGATGTAGGTCATGTTAGATTACCGAAATATGAGGTAAATTGTAACTGGACTAAATAGAGTATATTTTGGAAACTTTCATATTGGAAAAATCTTTTGTTAACAGCACAATCTTGATGTTATGCACATAAATATTTGATAATGTGCTTAATACAATGATGGACATTAATGGTAAAACAAAGAATAACATTAAAGCGAGAATGGATTTGGCGGAGATTTGTAGGCAGAGAGATCCAGAGCTTGTTCTGTTGGATAATGGAAAATTTGCTAAACCAAAGGCTAATTCACCCTCACTCTTAATGAGAGAAAAATTGTATGTAAATGAGTTAATGAATTAAAGATGCCAGATGGTTATTCTTCTCATTTGGCTAGATGTATTGATGGCCAAACTATTAAGGTTCATGGCATGAAGAGCTATGATTGTCATATATTTATGGGATGTCTCATCCTATTGTATTCAGTTCTTTGCCTGATCTTGTATGGAAACCTTTGACTAAATTGAGTTAATTTTTTAAAGACTTGTGCTTTACTATACTCAAAGATGAGAGTTTGTTTAGACTAGAGTAAAATATTTCCATAATTTTGTGTAAAGTTGAAAAATGTTTTCCATTGACATTTTTTGATTCAATAGAGTATCTTATTGTACACCTTTCATATGAAGCAAGAATGGGAGGACCTGTTCAGCACAGATGAATATATCCTTTTGAATGGTAATTTTAAGTCAATATTTTGCATAAATTATATTTTATTTTATAAGTTTTTTTTTTTTTTTTTTATATTTAATACAATTGACATTAATTTAGGGTAATGGGAGATTTTAGGAGATCAATCAAAAATA